AAACTTGATTGAAGATGATGAACCAACGTTGTTGTGAAGATCAGTGTGAACAAACAACGATTAAGGGCGTGATTATTAGATTTAATCGGGTTTGTTCACATATAACCGAATGGGTCAGTTAGTATAGAGTCAATTAGTGTGGTGTCGTTTAGTGTGTTTTACATATTTAATTAATTTAAATAAAAAACAATAGGGCAGTTTCTAAAAGGCAGTTATGGGTAGTTTCTATTGTTAATAGGTGTGTTGGTTTGTAATAGTTGTGTTGGTTAGTAAAAGTCATGTTGGTATATATTTGGTGAACACAAATATTCCTGTACAGTTTTTACATCAATAAAAATTCTATTCTGCATACCAATTTGTTCTTCCTATCAGTTTTCTACACACCTCCGGCCGCCGTTGTTGATCGATGGTTAACCGGTGTTGCTATTTTATTTTTAATAATTTTTTTAATTTTCAAAATTTTAAAAAAAAAGTTGAGTTTTGGTGTTCAAAGTGGGGAGCTTTGCTTTATTTCCAGGTGAGCTTTGCAATGTCCATTGGTGAGCTTTGTAGTGTAGTGTGGTGAGCTTGGCGTCACCTCACCATAAGGTGTCATCTGACTGGAGTCAATCCCAAATATATATGTATGTGTGTGTGTGTGTGTGTATGTGTATTAATGTATATATAGGCAAGAATCTTTTGACCTTGAACCTCATATGACCCGGGGAACCTACGGTGCTCCGTTCGTAAAACTGATGGTTCTTACCCCTTATCCCCTGCACCCCATCCATGCCCCCATACCCCCCCCATCTCAAAACATCGATTTGGGCTACCCAAATTGGTGTTTTACGGGGGCAGGGAGGGTTGGGGTGTGGTGCACGGAGGGTTAGGGGGTAAGAACCTTCAATTTTACTAGCGGAGCACTGTAGGTGCCTTGGGTCATAAAATGACCCAGGATTCCAAAGTCAAAGAACCATTTTGTGTGTGTGTAATGAGTCTGATTCGGGCAAGAATCACTCATTTTTTCATCATGGTGCACATTGATGAATAAAGTTGTGCATTTTATTTTGGCAAGAAATTTGACTTATTTGTGATTATGCCCCAATGTTTTTCATTTTCCCTGATTTTTCACTTACTCACAATCTTTAAATCTTAAATCCAATGGATGAAATGCATCCTCATTTCTTTCATGGTGCATCCATTCTCACCTAAACCAAAACATTATATGTGTGTGTGTGTGTGTGTGTATACTCCCTAAACTAAAGTCTCGCTTCCCAAATTGGGCATCCCAAAACTAAAGTCCCATTTCCTCTTGTGTGTAACCAACTCAATAAAAATACTATAATACCCCTACCTTTTCAATCACTTTTTCTATCTTTTGAATCACTTTTACATTCTTTCTCTTATTTCAACTCACGAACCTCAATCTTTTTCAAACACATTTTATACACACCTTCATTTATTTCTCATCCATATTACACTCTATCTCTCTCTTATTCTAACCACAACACATCAAAGTCGCATCAGGGGAAAAACTAGAATGTCAACACTACTTCAAAATTTACCTTAGTCTATATGAAGTCAAATCGGGACTTTAGTTTTGGGACGGAGGGTGTGTGTGTACAGAGAGAGTGAGAGGTAGGATATTATGAGGCTATTTATTTAGTGATACCATTTGACACAATTAAATTTTCTCTATCCATCACACCATTAAATTTGCATTAAATTACAGAAGCATGATGGATAATACAAATTTAATGGTGTCAAATGGTGTAAATAAATAATTGGTGTTAGAATATCCTATCTCGTGTGTGTGTGTGTATAGAGAGAGAGAGAATGCATATGGTGCATCAGTTGTAAGATCTAAGGGTTATTTATATTTGAAAGAGTGAGAAAAACATTAAAAGTGTGGTAGCATTTCAAGACGTTTCTACCATCGTAAAATATGCACTACTTCAAATGCAAATGTGTAATGCACCAAAGACTTTTCTCCCACCGTAAAATATTTACTCATTACAACTATATACAACTAACTAATCTCTAACAACTATTGTTTGCACATGCCTCTATGTTTGAGAGATTAGGGTACATCTGAGCAGGTTCAATCATTACCAAATCATGTTGTTTCCTAGCAAGTAGTTCAAGAAACCAAATAATATTTTGCATATGAGTTACTCCTCCGTCCTAAAAAGATGAGCCTTAACGAAAACTATGCCAACTTTGAAACTTGATTTCTCAAAAATATGTCAAAGAAAATATACAAAATATGAAAATGCTTTTCTTTACAAAGCATTAAATATAGCTATGCAAAAATTATAAATTTAAGGGTGTATTTTAAGACAAATCATTCACCAATGTTTGTCACGTTGGATGCACTTCAACGACCTAGGCTTCCTCAAGGGAATTTGTATTATGGTCCACAAGTTTGTGAGGAAGCAAGTAGACACCATTAGTAAGTGCCACAATAGTTATGAGCACATGCTTAATTTGTAGCTAGGAGTCAGATGATTACTTACTCATAATCCGGAAAAGTAAAACTTTTGTGCAATTGCGTTTTTTAGAGAAATGAGCATTTGGTTAAAATAATACAAAGTATAAATTGAGATGTAAACTTCTAATAGAATAATCCAAGATACTAGGATTAAAAGAGCCAATACCTCTCCAGTATGAGGATTAATGGTTTGGAGCACACTCTCAATGGCCTTATACTCCATCTTAGTGGCCTTCTGAGTTAGCTGAAATGACCTAATGCAGACAACATCCTTTCCGGCCGCAGTCTTAAACCGTAGCTTAATCTGCCCTTTTGTCTCTGTCTCTCCTGCCACCTAATTTATCACACGAATTTGTTTTATGAAATTTTTGAAAGTCATTTTATATTCAAAAAAACAAACAATGCTAAATAGAAAGGGCGAATTCACCTTTGGATCATGAACAAAACTGTGGCCGGAACGAGCATTGGGTGGCAACTCTCCTGTGCACGCCACCTTCAAGCACTCGATGATTGTCTATCGCAAAATTACAGTAAACAATGAACAAGAAAACCATACTATACAGCACTGTGACATTGCAATAGAGCCTAGCAAACTACAAGCAGGTGTGGTACAGCCACACTACAAGAGGCTATCATCTTAATTGAATTGCATGCCCAAGCAAATTACAACCATATAGCTACGAACGACTCTTACTGGAGTGTATCTAGATATAAAAACACATGAATCGCAATAGAGAGAGAGAGAGATTACAGTTTTTCCGGCGCCGTTAGGGCCAACAATGAGGGTTAGGGGCCTGAAGAACGTGACGACATTTTTGTTCTCCGGATCAAAGCTCCGGATTCCCTTTATGAGCATCTTGTCGACTGTGCTCATTTTCGCTATCCCTCTCGAAACAACTCTGATTGTGAAGCTGAAGTAGAACTGCTTGTGAGCTATGGCGGCGAAGTGAAGCGCCACATTGATGAGGAGAGGAGGACTTTTATCGCAATGAAAATACTCCTTATTTAACTTTTAATCATTTTAGTTTTTTTTAATAAAAAAATTTATACTACTTATTCCATTTCACGTTTGAAAACATAATAAAATGTCAAAATATGTATTATGCATATTAAGGGCATGTTTGGGAATAGCGTTAGAGATTAGCGTTAGAATTTTAGATAAAATTTTAACTGTGTAGATTACTTTAAAAACGCTAACGCTAAACGTTGTCCGTAGATAGCCTTTTTCAAAACGCTAACGCAATTTCCAAACATGCCCTAAACCTATTGGAGTATATTACAAACACAATACATTATTTGTTATTCTATTGGTAAACTTTGACCTCAAATTAAATAAAAATGATATTAGATATTGACACAAAAAAAGTTTCATTAGATTTATTATATATAATATTTTTAAAATATAAATTAATATAATTAATATACAATATATATTTTATTGAATTATGGGTCAAAACTTGATGGTGTAAATTACTTGACCGGTCAAACTATACTAGACCGGGTCTAGAATAGTTTGCTTGATTGGGCAAAGTAAGAAAGGTAAAAACACGCAGATTGACCGGTAGGACTTTAGGTGGAACACCCGTAGCCCAATTTATATTATAACGGAGAATGCACGAGTGCTTTTACAAGGGGGTTTAGAGAGAATGAATTCGGATCCCCTTCTTCGAGGGTTACAAGTGGTATATATACTAGGCTGGGGAGACAGGTCCACGTGCGCCCACGTGGGGACACGCTGCTGATGTGGTGCGAGATGACTGTCCCTGAGCCGCCTTGTCATCTTGCGAGGGGGATTACCCCCCTTGTCGCGTTCTGGCTTGGAAATATTCCTCCAGCATCTCTATTGAGTCCCCAGCAACGCCAACCACTACAATCCAAGCCCTTTTGGACTCTTCCTGCCGACACTTCTCAATAATTAAAACCTGCACCGGTTGATTCTTGAGGGTTGGATCTGCTAACTTCAAACGATGAATTAGGCCCCGGCATAGTTAGACCGATGCATTATTCGAAATATACCGGTCAAACTTTTGGTCAACTCTCTGCCCTTCCATGAACGATTCATCTCCCTCCTAAGTTTGACCTTCCTGACCGGTCAACTTATATGGGTTTGACCTTTGACCGGTCATGGGTAAAATACACTCATCAAAACTAATGTTGAAAATAGTTGACTGAAAAAAGTAAAAATTAAACAAATACTCAATGACGGAGGTAGTCACTCTTTTTAATGGCATATATGTATTAAAAAACAAGTTGTGCTACGTAGTCTTAGGCCACCGGAAATGGGTGTAATGCCCATCGGCGTTATCCCCCCCTTTTAACGTCCCGGAGCGTTAAACACCGCCCCCAAGGGTTTCAAACCGGCGTCATGGCTTCAGCGTCAAACGTTTGACGCATTCCTCCCCTCCCCCAACGGCCAAAAATGTCTATTTTAGCTGTTAACCCCAAAAAAATTCTAAATTCAAAAAATAAACCTATATTAGTCGATCCTAATGTGAAATCAAACTTGCAGATTTTGGCATGGCTAAGCATGTAGGTATCAACTTAATTTATGTGTAGGATCTGTGGCTTTTGTGCATTATCCTACCCATTCATTTTGTGTAAGTGTTGCCATCCAAAGCATGCTACTCGAGCTACTGTAAGGCTGATTTGGCCTTTTAAATGACAAAGTTCATTAATATTTTTTCATTGACCTTATGATGAAAAAAGAGCTCAGAGGGAGCTTAGATGGAATGATATATTCAGATTATTCCACGATTGTCAAGTCCTTCTTTGAACTAATTGGTCTTAAACGCCAGACCTACAAAAAACTCAGGAGGCGGCGAAAAAAGATATTGAACGGGTCTTCGGGGTCTTGAAGGCTAAGTGACACATTCTAGATCGTCCGTCGAAATATTTTTCTCAAACAAAAATGAGGAATATCATGTAAGCATATATTATTCTTCATAATATGATCGCAGAGGACAACAGATTTGCGATTTGTCAATACAACCCGGACGAGGGAGTGTCTATGTACGAAAAAATCGACGAAGAAAAGAAATGAAGAAACCGCCAAGAAATTCAAAGGTGAGAGATTCACAATGCACTAACGGCGAATTTGATCGAACATATATCTTCAGTCCCTTGAATAATTAGTAATTTCTTTGTAGTGTTGTTTTTTTTATGGATTTAATATTTTTTTTAATCAATGTAACTTTTTTTATGAATGTATTTTTTTATGAATGTAATATTTTTTAATGAATGTAATTTTTTTAGTGCACTAGTCTCCTTTCGATTATTTTAAATAATAAATTAATTGAAATTTATTAATTTAAATTTAGAAGATGTATATTTAAAAATGTGAAAAATGAAGGTTTGAAGCCCCTGTTTCAAGCACGGGGGCTTCAAATCCATTTCCACTAGATATGTGAGGTAAGTAAAAGCTGACGTGGCAAAAAGAGAAATTTTGAAACCCTGATTTGAAGTCCCGAGGCTTCACGAGTATTTCCATTGCTGTTATAGTATTTCCCAAGATGAAGTCAAATACCAAAATATAGACGGTTTACACGTTCTCATGGTAAAATTTGATTTCCAATAGATATGCTATTATTTAGCTGAGAAGCAAAATTAACCTTTGCATCATCTATCTATGCGTGTTGATCTATAAAAAAAATATTTTAAAAGATGGACGGCCACGTTTATATATTATTATTATTATTTTGATATATTAAAATTATTTTCATATTTTTAATTTAATATATTAACGTAAAATTAGTCTATTGATTAAAAACAATAACAATGTAGAATACAGATGATATAACTGGAGTCATGTAGAAAAAATTATATCTTCTCTCTTGGAGATGCTCTTGAGGCCTAAATGTAAAACGAGAAGTTTCTCATATACTCCCTCGGTCCAAAAAAGCTCTCAGTTATTATATATTCACAGGTCTAACTTACTTCAAGCGCAGAATCGCTGTTTCAGAGGGTTTGTGATGCAACATGGAGCGCAGTCGTGTCGTGCGTCGCCGCCCACTGCCAGATTACAAGCATCTGCACAATTTTGGGGCCGCACCGTCACCACTATTGTCGTTTGAAGTGGGTTGAATGTGGTAGTGACAACATTCGAAGCAAGGCACGGTTCTGGCGACTCTTGGATGCCTAGCACGATGTAAGTTGCTGGGGAGCTACGATGTGATGAAGAAGAAGAGTTTTTAATAATAACAACGAACATTTTGGTATTTCCAAATTCACATAATGTATAATTGTAATGAACTAATGTTGTTTTTAAATTTGCGAAAATAAATTTTCCAAATATGCCGAAATAAATTGTTGCACTATAGTGATTCAAAATCATAATTCGTCAGGTATATCTCACTTCACTCGCACATCGTCACGTAGTGTACAAACTCCAAAGTCTCCTATATTTAAGCATTTATTTTATTAAAATATATAAAGTGAGTACGAACTAGACACAAAAACATTTACATGCAACAAATGCGTGTATTTTCCTCAAAATTGTCAAAAGAATATGTGTTAATATTCATTTTAATCCGTGTAAGTGCACTCACAAGTCAATATGGTCCATATAAGTTTAGTTTAACAAAATTAGTCCATGTAACTAGAAAATGTGAGTTAAATTGATTCTTTATGCAAAATTTATATTCCAAAATTATAAGTTAACATGTAAATTGATACAAAAAGTAATACACGAAGTCATTGCTCTTGCGCCAAATAACGTGATAACTTAGTATGTTAAAAGATACTACGTAAATTTTATTTGGAAAGATTATCTTGACTCACAAATTTTATATATAGGGATTAATTTAGCTCAAATAAAAGAGAGACCAAATAAGTTATGAATAAATTTAGAGGGACCAATATTGGACAAAATGAAAGGACCACACCCATTAACGCCTTAACGGTGGTGGGTTCAGTAAGTGGAGACTTGAGAGGGAGTTCAATGTTTGCAAGGAAGGCCGGAAAACTGGTTCCCAGAACTGGAAGGCGAACTTTCACAATGGATACACCTGTCCCTGCGTCCTTGCCATGCTTTGACGATTGGGATCGTCCTTTCACCGATCTCGAACTCCTAGAAATCGAAGCCGCAATTCAATCCGCGGCCGCGAAGCACCGCAGTTCGGACAAGTCCTCCGATGCGGAAAATGTTGCCAACGGGGACGAAACCGTCACCCGGACCCGTTGTCGAAGGCTACCCGACTCACTCTTTTCAAATCCGTTTTCCTTGTCTCCTTGCCGCAGAAGTGTGTTTAAGCGTAGATGTAATGATCGACGTTCTCTTTAGGCTCTTGTTCTTAAGCCAGTGCATAAATTTATCTTATTTTTTGAACTGATTTGGGATGTTTGGGTTGCTTTAGCGAAGATGCTGCCAGAATTAGCATTCAGAGGCCGTGTTGTATATTGCAGAACTGAGGCTGAGGCCGAGAAGTCTGCAGATGAGCTTTTGAATTTTATTGAAACCAAAAGAAAGGCACAAGGGGAAGTTTCTCTTGGACTTGATCTTGAATGGAAACCCAGTTTTAGAAGAGGTTCGTATAATATCTCCCCTCCTACGTTCCAATTTACAGATGTATCAGTTAATTGCGGAATAGTTCAAAGACTGTTGACCTGTTGTGTAAGCAGTGCTTATATCTGCCAGGATAATAAGAATTACTCATTATTATTACAGACTGTTACTCTGTGTTATAACAAGGTTTGTAATCAAATGAGTATGGGCCATGTTGAGCTTGGAGCAGGGTTGTTTGCGAAAGATTTATAGCTGTTTTAAATTGTTTGCCACTACATGAATCAGCGCTAGTCGAGTTGAGCTGAACTGAGGTTAAATTGCACTCCGTGTGTGCTCATGTTTGTTCGTTAATTGATCAAAAACAAACTCCTCTAACTCAAGCAACCAAGCTTGTCCGCCGCAAACAGGAGAAAACACATATATGTGTGCCATTTATGGCCCCTAAACAAACATCCATATAAAAGAACAAGCACCAATGTTTCACATCATTAAAACATTAAAAAACCTTCTCATTCTTCAAGCTCTACTCACTCAATACCCTAGGCCCAAACCAATGCTCATTTATGTTTACTTCATTAACCAGAAAACACACCAAAACATGAGCATCAAACAATATGCCCATTTAGTCATTTAGAGCACGATAGTGATGGCAATGGACTGAATGGAGATCACTCTCTTATCGGCCATTCTCTTGCACACAATGCAAATTGTCTTGTGAACATTGATTGAGAGTTACTCTTCTCCAACAAATATAAGTTTTTGTAGTCACTTTACTAGTCAGCAGCTGGTCATTCATCTTTTATATGGAATTATATTCAACATGGCTTAGTCGTGTTTTTTCCCTTTCCTCTATTTCCTGGGGTAGGGTTTAGAATGGATTTTTTGAGGCGCGTCTCATTGTGAGGCGGTGAAAAATGCTGAAGCTTAAGCCTCATATGGTTGAGGTGACCTGTGAGGCAAAAGCCTCTTTTTTGTATTAAGTTTCTTCTATGTTCATTTTACAAATAAATAGAAGTTACACCGGGTCTATTATTCTTTTTGTATTAGTCACTAAGCTTTAAGCCTATTAAAATCCATACATTTTAACTACGCCACCAACAACCCAGTTGGATCCCACAAACATAGGGTCTGTGTATGCAGACCTTGCCCCAACTCAAAAGTAGATAGGCATTTTCCAAGAGACCCCCGACTCATGCCACAAAGATATAAATAGACAAGAGATACATAAAGTAGAGAAAACACAGATAAAGCACACATAGAGCACTAAGCACGCTGGGCAAGGACCATAAATTATTTGGAATATTTTCCAAAATCAACCATTATATTCACACATTTCTACATATAAAGCTCACCTATATTTGCAAAGGAAGTTTTTTATAACGTTGAGGTTAACGCCTCAAACTGCTTTGAGGCTTATGTCTTGCCTCACATATGGAAAACACTTCAAGGTTTTATAGCACCTATTTAAACATTCGGGGAATTCATAATTGTGGATATTTTTATTTTGCTTCTCCATGCAGGTGTTGCTCCTGGTAAAGCAGCTGTTTTGCAAATATGTGGGGAGATGAACCAATGCTATGTTTTTCATATATGCCATTCTGGAATCCCTCAAAATCTGCAGACACTTCTCCAGAGTACCACTACGGTTAAGGTCAGTACCTGTTCATAGTCTCCAAAATTTTCTATAAAATGTAGCGTCTATTAGTTGTGATTGTTCTTAGTCTGTTACCTTCACGCCATGAATGTCTAAAGGTGGGATCAAATATTGCAAATGATGCTCGCAAGATTTTTCTGGATCATAATGTATCTATTAGGAATTTGGAAGACTTATCTGCACTAGCCAATCAAAAGTTGGACGGAGCTCCCAAAAATTGGGGCCTAGCTTCATTGACAGAATCACTTCTTTGCAAACAGGTATGGTAAATTGGTAACAATGCATCCCATTTGTGCTTCGATATCACATATATACTAAAGTAATTGAATCCTAAACATGTATGGAATATCTGTTAGACTTATGAGTCAATGTTTTCAACCTTCATCAGTGCTCCCTACACTTTTTCATTGTTAACTAAAAGATCATGCTCGCCTTGCTTTATCTGATAAAGTGTTTACCTGATTTTTGGCCTAATATATATTTGATCTTTTAGTGCTAGATTAAATTGAGCGTTTTGTATCTTTGTAGCTCCCTAAGCCAAGCAATCTAAGATTGGGAAATTGGGACACTCCGGTTTTATCCAAAGAGCACCTAAGTTATGCTGCTACAGATGCTTTTGTTTCATGGCACCTATATCAGGTAAATGATTGTCTTTGGCACCCATATCTCGGATTCTTGGTTTCCATTTTCTTTGGGCTATGTTTGGTGCTTAGGAGGGAGGGAAGGGAGAAAAGTCCAAAGGAAAATGATTTTTTAATGTATGGTTTTACACTTTTGCCGTGGAAAATATAAGGGAGAATCAAATTTGATTAGAAGTTTGATTTTACAAGCATTTCGATCGTTTAGTATTCATATGAACTAAGAGAAATTGAACAATTATCTAAAATTGATTTGTTTAGCTGGACCTCAT